TCTGACTTGACAGCAGTGAGTTAGATGGTTGTACTAGACAGCACTATCTATTATGATTAAGGTACTATGCTTGTGCCAGATAGTAACATCGGGGGAGGGGAGGGGAGGGGAAGGGGAATACAGTGCTGAGAATTGCTGGATATGGCTCTTGTAGCCATCTCCCTTTATGACTCCCATCAAATGACTGGGTAGGACTATGCAAATGTGAGGTGCTAACGGGCCACCAAGGGGATTGGACAGCTTGCTAATCATGTAAATGAGGCATTGCTTATTTAGGTATTAATTTGGGGAGACTCCATGGCTTTCAGAGTGGGATGGGCTGTAATGTTTACAGAAGCTGCTCTCCAGGCATGGTTCTTCTGTGGTGCCACTGGGTGGGTTTGAAAAGGTGAGCTTTGGGTTACTAGCCAAGTGCACACTGTCTGCACCACCCAGGGACCTTTAATAATAATGCAAATAAAGTGCATGGCACCCTTGTGAGGGTGAAACCATGCAAATAAGGTGTATGGAACCCTAACGTGGAGATGGTCAATTCTGCCATTCCACTAGGCTTAAAATGAGTCATCCCAGAGGTGGAAAGGAGGAATCTCACTACCATCAAGAAAGAAGAGGCAGGAGTGGAGTACATCCTTTGGCCCCCACATCCGGTGCTGAACCTCCTTGACCCAGGAGACAGCAGACAGTGGGCAGTACCAGCAGAGAAATGGCAGCAGCAGAAGCAGCATAACCAAGAGACTGACAAGAGACAGAGCGGTGGGCTTCCTGGTCCACAAGAGCAAGAAAGCTGAGTGCCTGGTTGGTGGAGTGGTGTACATCTCTGGGTACCTATCAGCAGAGCTAATAGAGCTTTGTAACATCTGCCTGGGTAGGTCAGAAGCCAATGGGCCACAGTGCTGAGAACCCGAGGTCAGGGAGAAGCAAGCCTGCAGCACAGCTGAGAAGAGGATATCCTGAAGGAAGAAATCTATCCTGAGTTGTTTCTGATTCTGAACTGTAACCTGTTACTTCCTTAATAAACCCTACAATCACAAGTATTCTCTGTGAGTTCTGTGTGGCCACTGTAACAGACTATCAATCCCAGCAAAGAAGTAGAGAGTTGTGGGAGGGATGGTTGGTTGGTAAAAAAGGTTGGAGGGTGGTGGCATGTCTGACCTCCACCTCATAGGAATCAACCTTGTGCTTTTGATGTTGATCTTGATCCTCCTTCCTCTTGTGAAGTTAGAGGAGGTCAGTCACTACCCCCATGCCATTTTTGCAGGTAAATAAGACTCCCTGGCTATTTTTACAACTTTTCTCTAAGTCTAAAACTATTTCAAAATGAAAACTATTTAATAAGTCTGGCAAGAGGCAAATGCCAGAAAGTGGATTAGTGGTTATATGGGATGGCATGAGGTGTAGATGAAGGGTTATTGCTTGATGAGTACAATTTCTGTCTGAGGTATTGAAAAATTTTTGGAAACGAATAGTAGTAATGGCTGCACAACATTGAAATGAATTATCAAACCCAACAGAAAAGTAGAGAGTACCATGGGAGGGATGGCTGGTGTCAGAATTGGTAAAAAGGTTGGAAAGTGGAGGTATGTCTGACCGCTGCCTCACACAATAATCAGTCTCAGGCAACTGATGCAGATAATGATTTTCTTGATGATGATGATTCTCTCTCCCTCGTGAAGTGAGAGGATGTCAGACAATGCCGACCCATTCATTCAATTTTTATATCCACCCAGTCATATGGTAGGAGTTACAAGATCATGGTGAGAAAGGCCATATAAATATAAAAGCATCCTCACACTGCACTTTTGTGTATACTTCACTATTAAAAAAAAAAAAAGGAATGGCAATGATAACAATAGTACTCATTTACATACTACTACAGGGTCTGTCCTCCGCTTACAAACACTAATGTATTCAATCTACAAGAGAGCTCTGTTGTTGTTTTGTTATATGCCATCCAGTCGGACCCGACCCATAGCAACCCTTCCTTGGGTTTCCGAGGCAGTATCACTACAGAAGTAGATTGCCCAACCTTCCTTCTGAGGAGTGGCTGGTGAGTTTGAACCGCCAGCCTTCTCGTTAGCAGTCAAGTGCCTTAGGCACTATGTTACCAGAGCTCCAGGGTAGCGTTTCTCACCCTCAGCATTATTAACTTTTGGAAGGAGGTAAATTCTTTGTGGTGGGCTATCCTGTGTCTTGTAGGATATTTATCAGTGTCCCTGGCCTTAGCCCACTCAATGTCAATAGCACCCCTATGCAATTGGAAAAACCAAAAATGTCTGTAGACATTGCCAAATGTCCCCCGAGGGCAAGACCACTCACCCCTTGAGAAGCTCTGCTTTAAGAGAAAGGGTAACTGGTTAGTTCAGATGCCATCCTGTCGACTCATGCATCAGAATAGAACTGTGTCCCACAGTTTACCATGGCTGATTTTATGGAAGTAGATTGCCAGGTCTTTCTTCCAATGCACCTCTGGGTAAACCAGAACCTCTAACCTTTTGGGTAGCAACTGAGCATGTTAACCATTTGTTCTTTCCAAAAAAGAAACACAAAAAATAAAGAAGGGGAAACTGAGGCACAGAAAGGTTGAATAACTCATCTGCAATCACACAGTGAATGAGAGAGCTGTGATTATGAACCAAGCTACACACCAGATGGACTTGCAGCCAGCCTGAATAATTAATTTCTTTTAGAAGGATCGGCACAAGGCTGGCTCAAGGCAGAGGTTACAGTTGTCCCAAATGTCCAACTTTTCCAAACTACTGTGCCACTCCATTATCGTCAACATCAACTCCTCCTCCCCCCCTCAGTAATCTCCCTCCTGTCTTTAAAAAAAAAAAAAAAAACTACAAAACCAAACTCGCTGTCATTGGGTTGATTCTGACTCATAGTGACCCCCTTTAGGTTTCTGAGGCAGTAAATCTTCACAGAAGATTGCCCAGTCTTCCTTGTGTGGAGTGGTTGGTGGGTTTGAACCGCCAATCTGATGGTTAGCAGTTAAATGCCTTAGTCACTACACCATCAGTTCTGTATTTCACTGTGACATCTCACAGAACTCACAAGCTCTCAAGGAAACTGCTCACGTGGTGGTGGTAGAGGCTGGGAGGCTGGCAAGTCCCAGGTCTGTGGGTAGGTCTGGAGGATTCTCCCAACTCATGTGGTTGCATGGATTGGTGAAATTGGCAGGTCAGATGATAGCTGCTGTCTCAAGTCCAGGGGTGAGATGATGACGAACCAAACGCAGAAACAGAACATGAAAGCCAATTTTCCCAGAACATTCACATAGGAAGCTAAGGGTGTTGACTTGAGTCACACCCTCCAGCAAGGCGGGACTTAAAATACATCCCACCCTAAACAGGCACAGAGACTAGGATTTACAATACATCACAAAATGGAGGACAATGGCTAGAAGGGCCATATTAAGCAATTCATTGCACTGTACAGCCCATCAAGCTCTATTCAGGGATAATCTCTGGCAGACACACCCCTGGCCCACAATCTGAGAGCCTGGGTTGTGGGACCCCAACAGAGAGAGGGCTGAGTTCCCAGAAAGCATTCACTTCCTACTATATGCACTTCACGAGTTACGCTTCTCTTGCCAGCAGTTTTAAATTATTTGTTTTTCAAAGGAGCGTTGTGTGGTCCTGCTAGTGCTTCTGTAATAAATTAGCCCAAACCGAAAAAAACAAACTCACTGCCATTGAGTCAATTCCAACTCACAGAGACCCCTCATTGGGTTTCCAAGACTTTAAATCTTTATGGAAACAGACCACCTCATCTCTCTTCCTCGGAGCAGCTGGTGGGTTTGAACCACTTTACCACCACTTTACCACTACACCACCACAGCTCCTTAATAAATTAGCCCATATACCTTTTTTTAGCAAAAGCTTTCAACATACAAATACCTGAGGTACCCGAGGTACGTGCCTTCTTCCTTTTACTCATTTCACTCCTCCCTTGGGAAATCTGAAAATGACAAATAAAAGTGTCCCATAATTACAAGCAGTCTCTGTCTCCTTCTATCCAGGGGCCTTAGCTTCAGCCAACCTCATGTCAGCCCAACACACACAGAGAAGGCACAGCCTTATCCCTCTGCACAGGGTAGGGACTGCCATCTTCTGCCCAGTGGAGATGTCTAAGGAGCACACAGGGGGTGTCCTCTGTGGGAAGCCTTGGGCCCCCAGCCCTAGTTCTCCCTCAAGTTGTCGAGTTGTCAAGGGATTCACAAGGGGACAGCTGGGGCTCTCCCAGGATATCTGAGGACTTTCAAGAGGGGTCTTCCAGAGACATCCAGGGGTTTTCCAAGTGAGATCTGGGGCCCTTCAAGGGGTTGAGAGAGCTCTGGTGGCATAGTGCCTAAAGCATATGACTGCCAGCCTTCTGGCTGGCAGTTCAAACCCACCAGCCACTTCTTGCAAGGAAGACCAGGCAATCTACTTCCGTAAAGATTTACCACCTCTGAAGCCCAAAAGGGGTCGCTATGAGTTGGAATAGGCTCAACGGCAGTTTTTTTTTTTTCTTTTCAGGGCTTGTTGGGGCCCTGGAGGTGCAGGAAGTCTCCACAGCCCAATCTCTTCCAGCTTCAGGGCCAGAGAAGCCAAAACCAACCTGGGCCAGAAGTTGTGGAGCACCCTCTGTCCTTATCGGGAACAAGTTCTGCGTGGATCTGTCGGGAAATAAATCAAATTATTTGCGTTAAGTTTTTTTTTTTTTTAAGAAAATTAACGGTAAAATTGGCCCTCAGGAGGGCCGCTCCAGCAGATATCGGGAGCTCAAGGATAGTAGGGGCGATGCCTGGATAAGTGGACCCTCCACCTCAGTGATTAGTCCTGTACTAACCTTCACCTAGGCTGGGACCCTAGGTGAGGCCTGAACCCGCAGGCAGCTGCAGGACGCCCGGTATCACGCGACGCCACAGAACCTCACACCCAAGTACACTTCACCTTTTTCCCGCGTAGGGCGAAGGAACGTGCGCGCATGCGTGCCACTAACGCTATCCCTCTCACCTGCGTACGCCCCGCCTCTTTCCCCTCGCATCCTGCCGTTCAGCCTTGCGCATACGCGCCAGCGCGCTGCCTGGTGGGAGTTGTAGTTTGTTGCGGCGGCTCGGACAAGTCCAGTTGTAACGCTCCGGTGTCGCGGCGCCAGAGGGCCAAGGCGGAAGTGGAGCGGCCACATTGGGGGGCGAGGGCGTGGGAGTGGTGATCGCGAGGTGACAAGCGAGGGGCGCGGAGCTCCGGAAAGGGCGCGTGCGCGAGGACAGACAGTACCCCCCCCCCATTCCCGAGGGAAGAGGCAGGGCAAGGCCGAACTCGGGGTCCGGTTGTCCAGGGATCCATCCTAGAAGATGCACAAGAGGAAGGGACCCCCAGGCCGAGGCGCCGCCGCAGCCCGCCAGGTGAGTCTGCGCCCTACGGCCTGCCAGGGGACCCCCCCCAACCCCGTCACAGGCTTAGGGGTGGACCCCACCCCCAGGAGAAGGTGTTTCCCGCACCTCAGGTGAGCCCCGTCCCCGCCCCCTAGGTGAGCCCTGGTAACCCTCTTTTCCAAAGTGCGGCCTGCTGGCCCTCGCCTCCCAGCCATGCCACTCTATCCTCCACCCCTGGACTGGGGCCACCTGTTGCGGCAGTAGCTCCAATGGGTAAGGGGCAGGTCTGGGACTTGGAGTAAAAGGGACCCTAGCTCCTCCCCCTCGGCCTGTGTGTGACTGGGAACTCTCACGTCAGCCAGTCTAGGTCAGGTCGCAAGTCTTTTGATTCCCATTGTACAGAGGAGGATACTGAGTCTCAGAGAGATGTCTGGGACTTATCCAAGGTCATAGGGATAAACATTTTAGCCAGAGCTAAATGCAAATTTTGAGCTCACAGGACTGTGGCTGGCTGACCCTGGTCTCCCTCCCTCAACTCCTTGTCGCGGGCACCCACAGAGTTTGATTTTTCTCAGCTTTGATGCAGGGAGCCCAGAGCATGGCTAAGTACCCAGGCAGTAGGGATAGGCCTTACGAATCTACCCATCTCTGCACACTGTATGTGACTTTACAGCTGTGCACCTCTGTTACCTCATCTGTGACATGGAGGTCCTAAGATTCCCTATGTCACAGGACAGTTGAGAAGGCTGGTTGAGATAATTTATGGAGAGTGGTAGAACACGGTACTCAGTGAATGTCATCATCATTGTTATTACTGTTGTTTGCTGCTCTAGAGCCGGCCCCTGACTCATGGCAGCCCCACCTACAGTGGAACAAAGTGCTGTGGGGTCCCCATGATCACGTGCAGATCAGACCATTGTGATCCATGGGGTTTTCATTGGCTTATTTTGGGACATTAATTGCTAGGCCTTTTCTCCTAGTCGGAGGAGCTCTGGATCCAACTCGACAGCACAGTCCTGATGTTACCAAACCACATGTTAGGCCATTAACTTAACTCCATTGTAAGTCCCGCGGTCGGCAGAGCATGGCAGGCTGCTGAACGACACAGCTACATGCAGGGTCCAAGCGTGCCATGGGCTAGAGACCATTCCTACATGCAGGAAACAGACCACATTCCCTAAGGCAGCTACTCAGCTGCTCACAGTAGATTCCACCATGGAGTTGATTACCAGTCTCATCATGGGGAATACTACATCCAGCTGCCCAGCCACTCAACTAAGCCCAGCCAAGTTGACACACAAACTAATCTACCACAGCTGCTAACCAGAATGTTGGCAGTTCAGTCCCACCAGCTTCTCTGCGGTAGGAAGATGGGGCAGTCTACTTCCGTAAAGATTCATAGCCTTGGCAGCCCAGTGGGGGTCGCTGTGAGTCGGAATCTACTTGAAGACAGTGGGTCTGGGTTCTTCCCGGTCTGGAGGCTGTGCTGAAACCTTTTCAACATCGTAGTAATGCCCTGAGCCTCCACCAACAGGTGGGTTGTGGCTGTGTGTGAAAGGCAAAAAAGAATTCTGCCATCCAACCACCACTGCCCTACTGCTGCCTTAAAGATTTACAGCCTCGGAAACCCTATGGGGCAGTTCTACTCTGTGCCAGAAGGTCACTGTGAATCGGAAACAACTCGATAGTAGTGGGTTTTTGTTTTGACCATTCTTTTTTTTTTTAATTGTGATTTGGGTGAAAATTTACAGAGCAAATTCACTTTCCATACAGGAGTTCGCATATACTTTGTCTCATGGCATTGACCACAATTTACCACAATGCAACAGCTACCCTCCCACTTCCTCCCCATAGTTACCCCTTCCCAGTGTCCATCCCTCCATACACTCCTGCCCCCCGAGCTGTGTCCCTGTGCATAAGCAGCCCTTCTTTCTCCCTTGTTCTCTCCAAGGAGTGTATCTACCTGAGGTAAATGTTCAACTCATATGCCTGTCTTTTGTTTGGCTGGTACCCACAGGTGTGGGTTCAGTTCCAGACCTGAAGGGCAGCTAGGGGCCATAGTCTCAGTGGTTCCACCAGGCTCTATCACACCAGCAAACCTGGTCCTGCCTTTTTTTTTTCTCCAAATAATTTTGAGTTTTGTTCCACATTGTTCTCCCTCTCTATCCAGGATCTCCTACATAGATCCCCTTCCAAGTGGTTGATAGTGGTAGCCAGGCACCATCTAGTTCTTCTGGTCTCATAATCATATAGGCTGCAGATTGGATGGTGTATCAGTGGCTAGGACTAGTTGTTTCCATGAATTTTTGGTTTTCTTCATTCTTCTTTGCTCTGGATGAGGAAAGGACCCATCGTTGCATCTAGATAGCAGCTTGCAAGCTTTTAAGATCCCAGTCGCTACTCACCACAGTAGGAGGTGCAACAATGTTTTGTGTAGCGTGTCATGCCAATTGAGCTTGATGTCCCCTGCAACCATGGTCCCAAGCCCACAGGTTCAATTACTCAGTCCCTCTGGGTAGCTGGCTATGGCCAAGAAGTGACTACAACCTTGCCTCTTGTCAGCTCTACTATACACCTGGGGATTCAAATCATACAAATAAATTTATAGGACTGTTGTCTGCCAACCCTATGCATGGTCTCGGGGACGCTCCTCGCTTCATAGACATACCTACTAGTTCAGCCTGTCCACCCATCTATCCATCCGTGTACTCACGTTTGCCTTCACTGACAGTGCAGTACTGTATGTGCAAAAGGGTTCTTCTTTGTTGTCTGTATCTCCCATGTACCTCTCTATGTCATTCTCTTCCTCAGTGCCACCGTATCAATCACTCACATTTGGTACATCGCCCTTCTCTTCACCCAAGTCAATACTTATCTCTACCTATCTAACAGTGTTCCCTCCCCTCCCCTCCCACCCCTGGTAACCAACAAAGAAAATTTCTTTCCATAGATAAACCTTTCCTTGACTTTTACAATAACAGACTAATACACTATTTGTCCTTTTGTGATTGACTTACTTCACTCAGCATAATGTCCTCCAAGTTCATCCACGTTATGTGGTGTTTTGCAGATTCTACATTATTCTTTAGCGTTGCATAGTATTCCATTGTGTGTATGTACCATAGTTTGGTTATCCATTCCTCAGCTGATGGACACCTAGGTTGTTTCCATCTTTTGGCTATTGTAAATAGTGCTGTGATGAACATGGGTGTGCATATGTCTGCTCTTGTCATGGCTCTCACTTCTTTAGGATATATACCTAGTAATGGAATGGTTGGGTCAAATGGTATTTCTAATTCTCTTTTGGCCATTTTTGACTAAAGGGTAATTTCTTTTTTTTTTTTCTATTCATTTTTTTTTTTTAATTGTTGTTGAGAACATACAGGGCAGAACATACACTAATTTCACAATTTCTCCGTGAATACTTCAGTAACGTTGATTACATTTTCCAAGTTGTGCAACCATTCTTACGCTCCTTTTCTTAGTTGTCCCTCCCTCATTACCATAAGCTCACTGCCCTGTAAGTTTCCTATGTAGTCTTTCCAGTTGGTGTTGTCAGTTTAATCCCACATAGATAGATCTTAAAACCAAAGGGCAATTTTGTATGTTCAACTTAATGTTACACATCCTTGCAGGTCATTAACCAGGATGTGGAAGATGGGTTTGTTACACAGAAGAGTCCCCACTTTTAATTTCTGCATTGTTGTTAGGGCTTCTCATTGTGCTTGATGGATCAGTCCTCCTGGCCTGGACACTTCTCCTAAGGGTGTTGTAAGAAAAAGTTCATTGTCATACTTAGTGGCTTTGCTTTGGGCAGAGTGTGGGGCTATTAAATGTGACCAGCTGCGTTCTCAAGCATGGGCTTGAGCGAGGAGCTGGTTCTCTCTGCCTCCTTTTCCCCGTGTTGATTGGTGCCAGAGGGCCTGGCCTGTTGCAAGACACCTGCTTAGTTCTGGGTCCATCTCAGCCTCCTTGCACTCCCTGAGAGTGGCTTTCACCAAGTGGCCTGGGTTCCTTTCCTCCTGAGAGGGGACTGTGGGCCCATCATGGCTGCCTCTGGCCAGACAGGGTCCATTCCAAGGTCTGACAGGACCCTCACTGTTTCCACAGCTGGGCCTGCTAGTTGACCTCTCCCCAGATGGCTTGATGATCCCAGAGGATGGAGTTAACGATGAGGAACTGGAGGCCGAATTCTTGGCCTTGGTGGGGGGACAGCCCCCAGCTCTGGAGAAGCTCAAAGGCAAAGGTGAGATACACCCCCCCCCCAAATGTTTCCTGAGCTCCTGCTGTATGCTGGCTCAGAGATGGGGAGATGGCCAGAGAAGAAGAAGGCCCCACCTTCCTGGAGTCCGTAGTCTGAGTAAGATGCTAAGCATCTGACTTGGGACTAGAATGAGAGTTTGAATACCAGCGACACCACTTCCTGGCCATGTGACTTGGTGAGTCACATCACTTCTTTAGGCCTCAATTTCCCTGGTTGTAAAATGGGAATCCTAAGTGCACTTGCATCACAGGAGTCAACCTTCCAGTGTTTCGTAAAGCACTTCCCACAGGCCCTGCATGCCATGAGCTATTGTCATCAGTCCAAATTTCCAAGCCACTGTCCTGTGCTCAGGGCTGGGATGGGGGAGCCTGGAACCCTGAGGGAGACCTGTGGGTTGGGCAGGACATTATGGGAGGCACCCATGATGGGAAGGGCAGGTGAAGAATTAGCAGCTCTTCTACGAGGGGTTACAGCAGGTACAAAAGCCTGGAGGTGGAGAGGGACATGGCAGGGGTCAGGGAACACTAATGGGGCTGGAGCCCAGAGGGCACAGAGAGCCTTAAATGTTTCAGTTCAGATGTGTGTGTGGTGTTGGGGCCAAAGGGGCTGAGGCCCAGAGAGGTGAGGTAACTTGCCCTAGGTCCTACAGCTAGGAAATTGCAGAGCCAGAGATCAAACTCAGGTAGACTGGTCCCAGGACTAAGGCTTTATAATGAGGAGATGAGACATTTAAGTTTGGTAGGGGTGGGGTAATACAGGAAGACCTAAGGACAGTGGGGTCCCGTGGACGGGCCAGAAGGGGGACATGCTATCTCAGTGTTCCAACTGCTTGCTACCCTATTCTGTGGGGCTGCAAGGACCAGGATGGCAGTCTGGGGACTCTGGAAGGATTTTGACCTAGCTGGGGCCTCCCCTGCCACCAGGGCCCCTGCCCATGGAAGCTATTGAGAAGATGGCCAGCCTGTGCATGAGAGATCTGGACGAGGAGGAGGATGAGGAGGGGGGTACTGACGAGGACGATGTGGAGGCCGATGACGACCTGCTGGTGAGCAGCAGGGCGGGGTGGGATGGGGATTTCCCCTCCCCATGTTGTGTCCAGCAGGCCCTCATACCTCCACCATGGGTGTCCGTCCAGGCAGAACTGAATGAGGTCCTTGGAGAGGAGCAGAAGGCTTTGGAGTCCCAGCCGATTTCAGTCCAGGTACATCTCCAACGACCATGCCCCTTGAACCAGACACCACGGACAGTCTGGCATAGAAGGTCTGTCGTAGCCCTCCCAGCCTTGTGACCTCTGAGCCTCAGTTCCTTCTGCTGGGGAAGCAGGAACGATGATTTCTATCCTGCCAGGGTTAAGAGGATGGCCCAGGGCAGAAATGCCTAGAGCTGTCACTCTATTAGGGCATAGAGGGGCTGGAGGGGGGAGGTGGGAAAGCCCAAGTAGAGTCATAGCCAGGCCGTGCCTGTCGCCTCTTGTAGCCGAAGCCCTCAGTCCCAGGCCCAGGGGTGGAGACCACCTTGCAGGAAAGGCTAGCCCTCTACCAGACAGCAATTGAAAGTGCTCGGCAAGCTGGAGACAGCGCCAAGATGCGGCGCTATGATCGGGGACTTAAGGTGAGTGGGCAGAGGGGTAGGTGCCAGTAGCCTGCCCCCGGCCCTGTACCCAGCTCCAGGCTTCTACACACATGCTCATGTCTCCTTCAGACACTTGAAAACCTGCTGGTCTCTGTCCGAAAGGGCAATGCCATCGACGAAGGGGACATCCCACCGCCTGTAGCTGTAGGCAAAAGCCTGGCAGCCACGCCCAGCCACACCCCTACGCCCGCCCAGCCGGCCCCTACGAACCTGCCGCCCCCTATGAACCTGCCACCCCCTACGAACCTGCCAGCCCTGGAGCCCCGAGTGACCATGCAGGGACCTCCTCCCGCTGGCCCTGCCTCATCCCCAGCCTCAGCTCAGCCCCAGCTGCCCCCAGGTAGGCCGTGGGCACCAGGGCTGAGCTGGCAGCAAGGGTGGGGTGGGGGATTCAGCTGGTAGGCCCTCTACCATGGACTGGCTGTTAAATGTTTGAATGTCTCTCTAGACCATTATGTCCCTGGAGTTCTGAAGTTTCTCCAAGGGGTACACACTACATAGAGGATTTTGTTTTTAAATAACACTGTGTTTTTGGTGAAAGTTTATGTACTAAATTAGATTTCCATTTGACTGTTTCTACACAGATGGTTCAATGACAGTAGTTAATATTTGTCACAGTTTGTCAGCATTCTCTTCACTTGCATGCTGGTTGTCCCTTTCCAGTGCTCTAGTTTCCCTGCCCCCTTATCTTCATCTTTGCTTTGGTGTAGTTGTTGACCTTTTGGCCTCATATAGCTGTTTTTTTAGTGGAGCACTGTATTTGTGGGTAGTATCCTTTGTTTTGTGTGCCGATCTGTTATTTCACTGAAAAGTGACCTCAGGCTAGTTTCAGGTCCAGGTTCAAAGAGTATCTCAGGGTGATAGTTTTAGAGAGCCCTCTAATCTCAACTCAACTTAAGAGTTTGAGTTCTACTCCACATTTGCTCCCGTTCTATCAGGGTTCATCTATTGTGACTCTGATCAGAACGGTTCGTAGCCAGGCACCATCCAGTTCTTCTGGTCTCCGAGTAGATGAGGCCATGCTCATGTAGACTGTAGACTACTTTGTTCTCTGTGACTTTGTTTTCCTTCTTTTCCTTTTGCTCCTGACAAGTAGGGACCAATTTTTGTCTTCATGGCTGCTCTCAAGCTTTTAAGACCCCAGCCACCACTCAGCTCACTAGGATGCAGAGCACACAGAGTTCTAAGTGAGCAGTTCCCAGGGCTCAGCTTCTCCTAAATCTCTCATGTTGGAGAAGGCACCTCCCACGAAGTTTTCCTTCCCAGCTTCCCCTTTTCCGGTCACTATTCTCCCACCTTAGAGAAGGAAGGCCCACCTCCCTCTAGAATCTGAGCAGGGAGCTTTGCCCCAGGTGCAAAAACATACCTGACAGGAACCAAAGAGAGAACTCAAATGTAGGCATGGACTTGAGACGGTGAACACTGGGTCACAAAAGCCTTCTCCCAGACTGGTTTCTAAGCCGTTGTTTTTGGCAAAATTCAGGGAGGATCATTGTTGGCACTGCCACCTGAAATCCTCAGCCAGAATCACCAGACATTTTTCAGGGTGGGCTTTTGGGCAGAGAGCTTGGCAGGAGTTCACAGAATCGCATAAGGAGACTCCTGTGTATTCCCACCTGCTTTTTGGTGTGAACTGGGTTTCTCAACACTTTGCAAAAGGAAAGTGGAAAAGGGATGAGAGGGGAGCTGAGCCAATTGCTGGGGAAGGACTCAGCCCCAGCAGAGTCAGCAAGGGGTGCATTCTTTACCAAAAAGCTGGATGTGTTTAGGGTTTGGTCAATTACATGCTAATAACAATTGCAAGTAATTCAGCCCAGAAGAGGTTTTTTGTTGTTATTGTTTTTTTCCCCTTAAACAATGAGAAATTTACAATCATAGGAAATTTAACTAATTCAGCCTGGAGGTGTCTTTCTTCAACCTGGGGGAAATTGTCTAAATGTAAAACAATGGGCCCTGTTGTCAGTCTGCAAAAGTACAGCACAGACACTGTTTTCTGCGTGTTTCCAGATTTTGTGGACAAGGAGGTGTGGGTAGGGAAGTGTGGGGTGGTGTGTGTGTGTATTTGTTGTACTTTGTTTTTTTAGACTAACCATGGGGTCTATTACTTTAAATTTAGAAATACTCCCCCAAAAAACATATTGAGCTATTACTTGAAAATGTGACTAACCTACGCTTTGAAAATCACTTAGCCCTGTGTTTGCGACTTTGCAGACATGCAGACTGCTGCGTGAATGTATTTTGGTTGCACAGATAGACAATAGGGTGGTCAAACAAGGACTTCTAAGTGTACGAATATGTTATGCTAGGAGAAAATCCTGTGGGGGACATGGATGGAAATAAGAGTTCAAGGAGAAAAAGATGCGACATTCCTGGCTGCAAGCAATGAGCTCCTGGATATGTTTAAAAATACATGTTGGAGAGCTGCAGATCACCATGGTAGTTTTTTTTTTTTTTTTTTTTAATTGTGATTTGGGTGAAAGTTTACAGAGAAAATTTATTTTCCAGAGAACAGTTCATGCACATTTTGTTTCATGACATCGATTGCAATCCCCATAGTGGAACAGCTCTCTTCCCACTTCCTCCCTATGGTTACCTTTTCCCTTTGACCTTCTTTCCTATGCATTCCTGCACTCTGAGCTATCTCCCTGTACAAATATTGCCCTTCTGACCTCCCATGATTGATTGTTCTAAGGAGTGTACCTCCCTGGTGTGAATGTTTATCCCATAGGCCTGTCCATTGGCTGGGAGCCACAGGAGTGAGTTCAATTCCAGGTCCAAGGACTATGGGTCATAGTCTCAGGGGTTTCATCAGTTTCTATCAGACCTGTAAGCCTGGTCTTTTATTTTATGATTTTGAGTTTTGTTCCATGTTTTTCTCCTACTCTACCAAGATCTCCTATTTTGATCCTTCTTTGAGTGGTTGACAGTGGTAGCTGGGCACCATCTAGTTCTTCTGGTCTTGGGGTTGTGTAGGCTGTTATTCTCATGGTCTCTAGTCCCTTGGATTGTTTCCACACGTCTTTGATTTTCTCCTTTCTTCTTTGCTCCAGAAGAAGAGAGACCAATTGTTGCCTCTTAGATGGCTGCTCATGAGCTCAAATCGCCATGGTAGTTTTAAAGAGTGATGAAATGTCTTTATTTTCCAAACGTCAATATTTGGGATGCTGAGAATGACAACTTCTGCTATTTTTTATATTTAGAATGAAAAATTTAAAACATCAACTTAAGCATGTGTAAAGGGGCATAAAGTTTTCAACAGTAGTGGCTCCAGGGTCTTCCAGGACAGGGGTCAGACCCTAGCCCTGCTGTTTGCAGGCTGTGTGACCTTGAGGGAAGCAGTCTCCCCTCTCTGAGCATCAGTTCTCTCATCTGTAGAATGGGTCTAAGCACAGTCTTGTTGGGAGAATTAAGTTGAAATAGTTTGTACAAACGACTTGGCTCAGCCCCCGCAGCCTCCCTGGCGCTGTCCCCCTTCCAGGCCCCTGCAGCCCTGGCCTCCTGACCCAGTTGCAGAGCCGGCAGCGTGAGTACAAGCTGGCTGCTCTCCAGGCCAAGCAGCAAGGAGATACTGCTGCCGCCACCCGGCACTTCCGCGTGGCCAAGGTGTGTCCAGACTGATGAATAGGGCTGGAGGGAGAGGGCAGGATGGTCCCAATGTTGCATGGACACAAAGAACATCGCTCTGAAGTTAGACCCAAGTTTGAATCCTGGCTTGGTCACTCCTAGCTGTAATTTGCTGTCCCTCTTGGAGCCTCAGTTTACCAGCTCTGGGAAATGACCCTCAGTCTCAGAAGATTGATGAAATGTTACAAAGGAGGGACAGAAGCTGGGAAACTGCTGCCATGTGGCATTGTGTTGGGGCTCCCCAACTGCAGGCTCCTTCTCTGACCTCTGACTGCTTTCTCCCAGAGCTTTGATGCTGTCTTGGAGGCCTTGAGCCGGGGGGAGCCTGTGGACCTGTCCCGCCTGCCCCCACCCCCTGGTGAGGACCCCGCCTTGCCCACTTCCCAGGACTACTCGAGGTCTCCATGAAGTTCTTCCTGACGCTGCTGCCCCCATTGGTCAGGCCTGGGGACTCCCTTGGGTCAGATCAGCCTAGAGGGGGTTGCCAACCAAGCCCCTGATTGGCTCTCTGTGCCCCCAGACCAGCTGCCCACAGACTCACCATCACCACCTTCTCAGCCTCCGACTCCCACCACAGCACCCTCCACACCAGGTAGGCTCCTTGGACCCTCTGGGATGGGCAGGCTGGGGTAACAGTGTCTCCCCTTCCCTGGACTCTCAACCCTGCCTCCTGGCTTGGCCCAGAGGTGCCTGCACCCCCACGGACCCTCCTGGAGGCTCTGGAGCAGCGGATGGAGCGGTACCGCATGGCTGCAGCCCAGGCCAAGGCCAAGGGGGACCAGCGGAAGGCTCGCATGCATGAACGTATTGTCAAGGTGTGTGGGAGCCAGAGGGCAAGGAGGTGGCCCCTGGACACCTAGCCCGAGCAGCCTAACACCTGTGTCCCTGCAGCAATACCAAGATGCTATTCGAGCCCACAAGGCCGGCCGAGCTGTGGAGGTGGCAGAGCTGCCCGTGCCTCCAGGTAGGGCCTGCCCAGCTCCTTTCTGTCAGCCTCAGGGCCTTTGCAGGTGCTTGTCCTTCCTACTGTGCAGGTTCAGGGAACTGATTGCTGTACAGAGATTTTGCAAGCTTGTTAAACTATTGGTGCTGAAATCGGTCATGGTGGGAGTATTTACACCATGGAAATTGGCAAGCACTAAATATCAGGGCTGTTTATTGGAGCAGTTCCCCAGCTCTCTTCTATTCATCCTCCCTTTTCAGCTCCTTCCCCAACCATTAGGACTTGGCTTAGCTGACCCTTCTCATCCTCGCCTCAACCCCCTATGCTCTGGGGCCTACTCGGGGTTCTCAGAGCTGCCTGTGCATCCCCCAGAGAGCCGTCTTCTCTGAGTCCTAGTCCCTCATTAGCCTGGGAGCCCTGCCAGGCCAAGGGCCACCCCCTGTGCCTTGTACAGAGTATATATGAAAACATGTTTGTTGGAGTCTGATCAAGGCCTGGGGTCAGGCCAGGGAAGCTGAGAGGCATGAGTGAGGTTGGGAGTAGCCTGGTGTCCACATGGGACCAGTGGCATCTCCTTGCTTGGATTCAAGTAAAATTAGAGGCCCAAGGTTTCTTAGGCAGGGAAGGAACCCCTGTCTCGTCCTTGTGACGCGGATGCTCTCCCCCTGACCGGGCTTCGCCCAGGCTTTCCCCCTATCCAGGGTCTGGAGGCCACCGAGCCAGCTCAGCAGAGTCTGGTGGGTGTCCTTGAAACTGCCATGAAGCTGGCTAATCAGGACGAAGGCCCAGAGGATGAAGAGGATGAGGAGCCTAAGAAGGTGTGTGGGGCCTAGGCCGTGGGGTGAGGTCGGAATGGCAGCCAAGCAAGGTCCTGAGAGTCCTGGCCTGGAACTGGGCTTACATCCTGGCCCTGCCGCTTCCAGCCTGTGTAGCTTGGGCCAGTCATTTTACTCTTTGGGCTTCAGTTTTCTTTTCTGTAAAGTGGGGATGATAATCGTTCGTCACTTCCTCCCATGGCTGTTACAGATTCAGTGAGAATGGTACTGGGGAAACAGAAAGCAAGGTTGCCATTTTTGGCAGTGTCAGGCCCTGGCCCTTTGGGGATGGGGTAATTGTAGGCACTAGGAAAGCTCTGACTTCCTCACTGTCCCTCAGCAGTCTGCCAGCCCTGCAGCCCCCACAGCCCAGCCCAAGGCTGTACCTGCAAGGGCATCCGCATCAGGATCAGCCCCAGCAACCTCGACCCCAGCAGCCAAAGCAGCCTCCAAAGGCACATCCACCAGAGGTAGGTACGCCCTCCCTGGCCCGGCTGCCCTGTTCCCTAGCTGTGGACCAGGCAGTGCCTGCAGCGGCACCTGTACCCCCAGCCCAGCAGCAGCTGGCTTTCCTGGAGAACCGCAAGAAGCAGCTCCTGCAGGCTGCGCTGCGAGCCAAGCAGAAGAACGACGTGGAGGGTGCCAAGATGCACCTGCGCCAGGCCAAGGGGCTGGAGCCCATGCTGGAGGCCTCACGCAACGGGCTGCCTGTGGACATCAGCAAGGTAAAGCTCCTGGGTCCGCCAGACCTATTTAGGTACCCAAAGTCACATTCTGGCCCCTGAGCAGCCACTTGACTGGGAATATATGAGTCAGGGTCCAGACTAAGGTGCTGTAACATATTGGGCCCCCCCAAGACAGTGGGTGAAACCAGACTGACATTTATGTTTCTTGTATGTAACACTCAGGGCAGACTGGGTTCCAAACTAGGAGGCCTTCCAGGGCCCAGGCTCCTTCCATCTTGTTGCTTTGCATCTCCTTCGACAAAATGTCATCCTTGTCTCCATTGTTGAAGCAGGTCACGCTCTGTCTATATCCAGCCTGTAGGAAGGGATGGAAAGGAGAAAAGGCAGGCCAAGCAGTTTTTTTTTTAAGGAAGTAACACGGAGTTGCCATCACTTCTGCTCACCTCCTGTTGGTCAAAACTGAGTCCCATGGCTACACATAGCTGTAAGAGAGGCTGGGATGTGTAGTCTCTTGGTGGGTTGCTAAGTCCCCAACCAGACCCCACTGTTAGGAAAGGGGTTGGATTGAATTTTGCTGCACTGGGCAGGATCATTCGTTCTCTCCGAGTGTCACTTTCTTTGGGAAAGTGGGGATGGAAATTCAGTGAGCCGGAGTGATAGAATGACATTTGTGATAGGAAATATTTATGGGGCACCTACTGGGTGCTTGGCCTGTGCCAGGAACTTAGGATGCAGTCAGGAACAAAATAGACAAGTACCCCTACCCTCATGGAGCAGGAGACAGCAAGAAACACACAAATAAATAACAGCTCCTTATCATGACCCACAAGGCCCTGTGCAATCTGCTCCTGTCACCACCACTCAGCCCCTCGCTTCCTCCAGCTGTCTGGCCTCACTGTCTTCAAACACAAGGCATACCTGCTGTTCCCTCTGCCTGAATGTTCTTCCCCTCAATCTCTGCCTGGCTCACTTCCTCCCCTCTTTAGGTCTTTGCTCACGTGTCATCGCCTGGGAGGCCTATTGTGACACCCTTCCCCAAAAAGTCCTTTCCCTTTAACCTGGAACCCTCTACTTGCCCCCTGTCTTTCTTTTTCTCTGTAGCATGTATCCCCATCTCCTATCTCTTATGAGGTCCCTGAGTGTTGCAGACAGTTTGTGCTTGCCTGCTAAACTAAAGGTTGATGGTTCAAACCCACTCAGCGCATGGAAGAAAGTCCTGGCAGTCTGCTTCTGTAAAAATTACATCCAGGAAAAGCCTATGGAATTCAGTTCTACTCTGTAACACATGGGGTCGCCATGAGTTGGAATCGACTCCATGGCAGCAGGTTTGGTGTTTCTTTTTTTCCTCATGATCTCAGGTAACTTCTCTTGTATGTTACCCCTTTGTCCAAAGAGAACATGACCCCCTTGAGGACAGAGCTTCTTGTCTTTTCTTCTTGCTGTGTCCCAAACCTAGAACAAAGTTGAGCACACTGGAGGAGCTCCATCCAGGACTTCTCGGGTGACTGGAGGGTTGTCTCAGTGTGTCAGATGGTGGGAAGGACCAAGTAGAAGGACTAGAAGCAAGGGCTTCAGGGGTGCTCAGAGGAGCCCATGCCAAGGAGGAGTGATACCTCCACAGAGCCCTGGGTCAGCCCCATGAGCCTTGTCCTCCCCAGGTGCCACCTGCTCCAGTCAACAAGGACGACTTCGCCCTGGTCCAGAGGCCTGGCCCAGGTCTGTCTCAGGAGGCCATCCGGCGCTATGGTGAGCTCACCAAGCTGATACGGCAGCAGCACGAGGTGAGTGGGGCCCAACTTGGGTCAGTAGCCTTACCCCTACCGGGGCACAGCCCTCCAAGCCTTCCTCTCACTGTCTTCTCCCCCAGATATGCCTAAACCACTCCAACCAGTTCACCCACCTGGGCAACATCGCTGAAACCAGCAAGTGAGTGTCTCCTGCCCCGCTGTTACTGATGGCTTTACCCCAGCCTGTCCCAGGACCAGAGAGCCAGCCCCTCGCGGCAGGCCTGAGCAGGGCCCCTCTGGCCGGCAGGTTTGAGAAGCTGGCGGAGGACTGTAAACGTAGCATGGAGACTCTGAAGCAGGCCTTCGCCCGGGGTCTCCCCACCCCTGCTGCCCGCTTTGAGCAGAGGACCTTCAGCGTCATCAAGTAAGACTGATGCCCCCATCCAGGATGCCGCTGTGGGATGGGCATGGGGCTGCGCTGTCTGGAAACTGGTAGTGGGACTTGCCCTGGGAGTAAAGTTTGGGTGGGTTGTGGAAATACAGCACGTGCAAGGACTCTGGGGCAGGCGTGAGGTGTGGGTGACGGCTGACAAGGCACTAACGGTGACGCATTTAGAAATGGGGAAAGTCTGGTGAGTGCAACGATGTACCATGTCCCGGGGGCCTGGGGAGCCCACAGGAGACTGGAGATGTGGTGGTCTATTGTGGTGGGTGTGGTTCGCGCTCTGTATCATGGTTCCCCAGAGGAATAGAACCAGTGAACACACACACACACACACACACAGAGAAAGATTTATTTTCATCTATTATCTCATGAGATTGTGGGAGCTGGCCAGTTCAAAAACCGTAGGTGACAGGCACGAGCTGGAAACTCTGGCAGTCCTGTGTCCGAAATCAGTAGGCGGGCTGGAAGCTTTGGCGTGATGCCTGTGTGACAATCTTGAGACAGAATTCTTCTCCCTCGGGGTAACCGAAGTTCATGGTCTTCAGGCCTTCCATTGACCGGGTGAGGCCTACTCACCTTATCAAGGGTAAACATCCTTTACCAGAGTCATTGACAGTCAGCGTGAATCATGTCAAGGAAATACCTGCCTCATAGCCAAGGCACATGGACACATGAAATTAACCATCACATTCTCATTAAGTCTTACCCCGATCGAGGAGTTGGATCATGTGCCTCTTTTGGATGATTCTTGCCCTCCAGGGGTTGCCTGCTGCAGCTAGAGTAACCCACACCTCTATTCTGGCTCCTGACACGCTGTCTTGCCACATTGTCCCCACTTTGCATGGCTTCAACCACATGCCAAGTGTGTTTCCACTACAGGGACTTTGCACCTTGCTGTCCTCTCTGCCTAGGTCCTCTTTGGGTCTCCAGGTGGCGATTCCATCCTGACACCCACAGACACCTCTAGTGTTAACCCTGCTGAGAGCTCTCTCCTGGCCAGCCCCCTCAGGCAGCCCCTCCTGAGCACGCTCCATCTGTCCCCTATTTTAATTTTCTGCATCTGAGCCTTTGCTTTTTTCCTATCTGTGTGCACTGGTCACCTGCCCACTTGGCGAGATTGGGCTACATGAGTAGAGACAGAGCCTCTACTCATTCACTTCTAATCCCCACCTGTGAAGACCCTAGCTGGCACGTAGTAGGTGCTCAAGAGAGATCATTAAGTAAAGGTCCCCTGGGCTTGAGGGCATTGCTTGGTGCTTACTAGGTACTAAATAAATACGTGCAGACTGATCAGAGGGCCCAAAACGTAGCCAGTGGTGAAACCAGCCAGAGAGCTCCACTGTCTGATTCCCGAACTGGAGCCAAGGAGCTGAGACACCCCCGAAGGCCAGGGCGGGGCTTGTCCCTTGTCCCTTGTCCCTTGGCTCAAGGAAACGCAGGCAGGTGGGCAGCAGGACTGAGGTACCTCTGTCTCCTCACTGCCCACCCGGAAGGATCTTCCCCGACCTCAGCAACAACGACATGCTCCTGTTCATCGTGAAGGGCATCAACTTGCCCACACCCCCAGGTGAGGGGGCGGCTGGTGGGGGCAGGCCCTGGGGACCATGACTGTGCCCAGCTCTGAGCCTTGTTTCCCCACAGGGCTCTCCCCCGGGGACCTGGATGTTTTTGTTCGGTTCGACTTCCCCTATCCCAATGTGGTACGTGGGGAGTTGAGAAGGGGGCTCGAGCCCCACTGGGCTGGGATATGTGTTGGGTAGGGGTCCATGCCTGGCCCCAGGCCCCTGAGTTTTCCTGCCTCCTGTCTGGTGACAGGAAGAAGCTCAGAAAGACAAGACCAGTGTGATCAAGAACACAGATTCCCCAGGTAGACTGCAGCGGGAGCTCCCCTCTGTCTGAGAGATGGAACCTGAGATCATGACCTGACCTGTCCCCAGCTTCCTCCCAACCCTCCCCCTTTCCTGGGCAGAGTTCAAGGAACAGTTCAAGCTCTGCATCAACCGTGGCCATCGTGGCTTCAGGAGGGCCATCCAGACCAAAGGCATTAAGTTTGAAGTGGTCCACAAGGGGTGAGCCGGGGCCACAGGTGCTGGGGGGGCTCTAGGGAAGGGGGGCACCCCTGGGCCAGCCAACCTGTTCCCCGCACAGAGGGCTGTTCAAGAACGACCGGGTACTGGGCACAGCCCAGCTGAAGCTGGACACCCTGGAGACTGCGTGCGAGGTCCGGGAGATCCTTGAGGTATGAGGCGGGCATGCATCTGAACACTCTGGTGTGGCCAGCTGTTGTCATTGTTGTTAGGTGCCATTGAGTCACCACTGACTCATAGCGACCCTGTGCACAGCAGAATGAAACACTGCCTGGTCCTGTGCCAGCCGCATGATCCTTGCTAGACCTGAGCCCATCAGTGCAGCCATTGTGTCAATCCATCCCCTTGAGGCCCTCCCCTTTCTCGTTGACCCTCCACTTTACCAAGCATGGCCATGCTAGTTGTGATATTACTCAGATACTTGCCCTGAGTCCCTCAAGGGCCCCCTCTGGGAGCCTTAGACCACTCTACGCTCAGCACTAATACTCCCTCCACTCTACTCCAGCCAAACCTTTGGGTTCCTATTTTGGAAATCTCCCTGTTTCTACCTGACGCTGGCCACTGCCTGCTTCCCACCAATAACCTCCTCTGGACCCCACCTAGGTTCTGGATGGTCGCCGGCCCACAGGGGGGCGGCTGGAGGTGATGGTCCGGATTCGGGAGCCGCTGACAGCCCAGCAGTTGGAGACGACAACTGAGAGGTGGCTGGTCATCGACCCTGTGCCAGCTGCTGTGCCCACGGTGAGAATACTGCCTCCCGAGCAACGCCCCAGAGGGAGGCCTCGTTCAGAGGGGCCAGGACTCACAGCACTCTGTCCTCCGAATCAGGTCGCTGGGCCCAAAGGGAAGGCCCCTCCTGTGCCTGCCCCTGCGAGGGAACCAGGAAACAGGTATGTGACGGGGCCGGGCTATGCTGGAGAGGACCTTCTCTCACCATCTCAGCCCCACCTAGTCCATTGCCACTTGGACCTGACCCTTCCCTACTTCAGAACTTCTGGCTGCCTTTCTCCTGGAGAATCCTGAGAGGGCTTACCTCCTCAGTCTGATCGTTAACACCCTTTGTGATATGACTGTGTCAACCTGTCCAACATCCCCTCTCCCCGCGTCCTCCTTTTGGTTTATTGATGATACACCTCGTTTTTGCTGACCTCTGGGCTTCTCCATGTTGCTCTGACTGGAGCACCCTATCTCCCTCCTTGCCCCTGTCTCTCTGCCCAAATCTTACGCATCCTTTGGGTCCCAACTTGGTTCTTCCTCCTCCAGGAAGCCCCTAGCTAGTGGGGGGCTCCTCTGGGCTCCCATAGTACCCTGAGCACCTGTCAAACTCCAGAACATATCTGCTGAATTAACGGGGTTGCAGTTGGTAGGGGAGGCCCCTACAACCCCTCATCCCACCCCCGCCCCACAGACCAGCCCGGCCCCTGCACAGCCTCAGCGTGCTGGCCTTTGACCAAGAACGTCTGGAGCGGAAGGTGGGTACCCTGCTGAGCTCTGTGGGGGGGAGAGGGAGGGGATGGTCTGCGGGTCTGGGCGGGGTCCTCACAGCCCACTCCACACCTCCAGATCCTGGCCCTCAGGCAGGCGCGGCGGCCAGTGCCCCCCGAGGTGGCCCAGCAGTACCAGGACATCATGCAGCGCAGCCAGTGGCAGAGGGCCCAGCTGGAGCAAGGGGGTGTGGGCATCCGGCGGGGTAGGTGTCCAGGATGGGCGTGGGAGGGGAGGGAGGAAGGTGGGCACAGTGGGGATGGAGGAGGGGTAGGCACAGTGAAGGATTTGGGGTAGGCAGAGTGGGGGAGGAGAGAGGGTGGGCTCATTGGAGAGAGAGGGTAGCACAGGTTTGGGGTGGGCACAGCAAGGGAGAGAACGGGCACTGTGAGGGGTGGGGACAGTGGGGAGGGAGAAAGGATTGGCACGGTAGGGGAGGGGGAGAGGGTAGACATAGTGGAGGAGGGGAGAGGGTGGACACAGTGGGGGAGGGGAGAGGGTGGACACAGTAGGGG